TGTGTGTGTGTGTGTGTGTGTGTGTGTGTGTGTGTGTGTGTGTGTGTGTGTGTGTGTGTGTGTGTGTGTGTGTGTGTGTGTGTGTGTGTGTATTATTATACGTGTACATCACGGCTTACTAGAATAATCAGGCCTCCTCAGCGCGACCGTGGTCTGAAATGTGGAGGCGACGCACAAAACTAGGTCAGAACGTGGGAGTCACATTGAACAGCCGATTGTCATCTCATTCCTATAAATAGCATGTAACAAATTCCCTGGCAGAAATAAAGAAATATCCTTCCTTTAATACCAATTAGCTTTCAATGTGCACTTTACATTCCTCCATTTTTCAAAATGTTCTTCATCTTAATTACAATTGTTGTTGTTGGGTTTTTTTACTTGAAAAACATTTCTGAAATTTAATAGGTCAGGGGAGGTGAGAAGAACAGCGACGGAAGTAAACAAAGTTTTCAAAATGTCAGCCGCCTTGCCTTGTGACTTGTGATGTGAAACGTGTGACATGAGGATAGGCCTAGAGTATTTCATTTGGATTATCAATTTCAGTGCTTTCTAATGGAATAATGTACTTTGTATAGACTTATTGAAAATGGGCTGAAAATGTTATGTTAGTGGGTGCGGGTCAAATTAATGACTCTACTGACAAGGTTACCATTTTTAGACTAGACTTCTAGATCTAGCAGACTATATCTACATCTCTACCTAAAGATAAAGGTGAGAGAACGTTGGATGAAAGCAATCCCACGCGACAATATACTCGATACTGCAAATATTGTTGTTTGTATTAAACATTTTCCAGATGGATTTGAAACTATTTCTGTCAAAGGAAGATTAAGATTATTTTCTAATTTGCCCAAAAGTTTAATTCCAAAACCAGTGCCCTTGGCAAGAACTACATGTAGAGCTAGATCTAGATTCTAGATCTAGATATAGATATAGAATATAGATCTATATCTAGATATAGATCTAAATCTAGGCTAGTTATTCAGTCAGATCAGTTGAAAGTGACCAGTGAGAAGAATATTCTAAAAAAGAAATGGTTTCTTTTGATTCATTGTGTTCATTTGTAGGAGCCAGTGTGTGACAAGGTAGACTATGCTGAAACTCTTTGAGTGAAATAGTTATGGACATCTCACAGTATTATGGTTTTGAGATGAGACAACACAACTGCTTCGTCATAAAAGCAATATTTTGCTAAACAATTTCTGCAAGATATCCAATCCACCATCTGCGAAAGAACCTAAACAGAAAGTCCTAAAGCTGTCTTCATAAACTAAGTAAGTTAAACCTTTTTCATAAACACTGTAATGTTTGTGAACGCATAGATCTATATTATGTGTGTCTATCTAGACTATGTCTCTGTGTGTGTATACATGTCATGTGTAGGTGTGTATTACCCATACTTGGCAATGTTTCTACTGTAAGGCCTATAAATTATTCCATGCTTGCATAATGAATGAGTATATTTTTTAGCCCATAGAGCATGGATTGTGTTTTCCATGGATAGACCTATGTATAATAAAACGCTATCTTCATTCTTCTTCTTTCTGTCATTATTTTCTGTGCCCATTGCCAATGGGAAGTGAGGCTCTTTTACCGCACCTAGAACGAGAAATGAGACAAGAACTGGAGTCTAGATCTAGAAATCTAGTTATCATAAATCCAATTAAGATCATATTTGTAGTTGTATAATAAGCACAGTCTTATTTGATTTCCATTTCGGTGATCTGATTGCACTGCTGTCTTATTACAGTGGAATCCTGTTATAACGAGAGGGAGGGGATCGGTGCGAAATGTCCGTTATAGTAGGATTCTCGTTATTAGGGATCCAGTAATAAATTCAAGGGAAATAGTAAAGTAGGCCTAATCTATAAGTTTGGCGTTCTGTTTATTCCTTTTGTACCGTATTTCCCCTGATGATGATTTTGTTCAACATGATCTCTAGGTCTTACTTGATCAAAAATCGAATCAGGTTTCTTTCTCTAGCACTAGCAATGTTGACAAGTCGGCTTTGGCGATCAGAAAGAAGGGGCTCTGGCTCTAGGCTAATTTGCCCGCTGTGTTGTTCCCCTCCCCACCACACCATGTGGTGCGTTACGTCTACTTGTGCACGTCACACACACATTCACTCCATCTATAACAGCATTGTGTCCTCTCCATCCCGCTCCAGAGAAGTGAGAGGCACGGTATGCCTAGATAATCTAGACTGGGCTGGCCTATCACGCGATGCGTTCTGCTTGTGTGCGCATGCCACACCCTCCCCACTCATTCACTGCGGCCTTCATTGTTGGTTCGCAAGGGCTCTCTCGTTCTTTGTTTCGCTGGATCACCAACTTTCTCAACTGGCGAGGTTTTATATGTTTATTAATTGGTCTGTCTGCTGCGCCCAGCAGCAGCATTATTCCGCTATAACCGACTCGTGTGACTGTCTGATTGCGTAATAGCAGTATTTTATTTACAAAGATAAAGAAGGGAAAAAACGGGGTTTTAGAATAGTGTCTTTATAGCAGACTTCTCGTTGTTTCAGGACTCGTTATAAGTGGACTCCACTGTATTGTCTCGCGTAGCCTAGGTTACTGCTGAGACCTCGTTTTAAACTCGCCTCCATATTTTCAGACTACGCGCCCGCTGGGGAGGCCTGATTATTCTAGTAAGCCGTGGTGTACATAATATATATATATATTATATACAATATAATGTGCACATTCTGTGCCCTTCCTTTATTATAGTTATGGAAACTCTATTTAATTAATATAATAATAAATTAGTGTTTTATGTGATGTAGGCCAACTTAAACACTGAAACTGAATTATAAACTTACTTACTTTTTAAGTTAACTGAGAATCCTGTCTACATGACATGTAATATGGGCCAATGGCCTTAAACTGTGTATACACTTACTCACTTTCAAAGTTTACAGAGAATCATATCTAATATGGGCAAATGGCCTTAAACAATGTATTAATTTACTTACTTTCTAAGTTTACTTAGTATCACATGGGCAAACGGCCTTAACCACTGTATAATCATTAAATAATCTGAATAAACTTACTCACTTTCAAAGTTGGCTGAGCATCATATCTAATAGTAATACTGGCCAATGGCCTTAAACACTGTACAAACTTATTTACTTTCAAAGTTTACGGAGTATCATATCTAATACAGGCTAATGGCCTTAAACTTAAACACAGTAGGCCTACAAACTTATTTACTTTCAAAGTTAGCTGAGTATCTAATCTGAGCCAATGGACTGAAACAGTGTATACACTTACTTACTTACTTTCTAAGTTTACTGAGTATCATATCTACATATAATAAGGGCCATTGACCTTAAACACAGAATCTGAATAGACTTATTTACTCTCAAAGTATTATAAGTGTTTTACGGCACTTGCAACACAATAAGGTGATACAAGTGCCGAAGATTAGAGGTGTTACAAGAAAGTAACAAACACAAGAAAGAAGGAGGGGAGATAAGGATGATAGATTTTTATAGGAAAAAAGGATGAGCAGACCACACCAGAGCACCCGCCAACCACCCACCAAAGTAATCTCCCTAAAAAAATAATGAAACTAGATCTATCTCTACATATAACAACAACGAAAACTCACCTCATAAAATTTCTAAAAATCATATCACAATCAAACTGGCACAATATCACTACAATACTTACTTACTTACTTACTACCCATTACGCCATCTGGCGTTTAGGGCAGCAACAAAGGATCTCCAGCTCTGTCTGTTTTGGGCCATCTCGGTCAGCGTTCCCCGCGAATGATTCCAGGACTTCATTTCAGACTCTACTGTGCGTCTCCAGGTTACTTTGGGTCTGCCCCTTTTGCGACGTCCTTCGGGTGTACAGTGGAGGGCAGTCTTTACAATAGAGTCTGGTTCTCTTCTCAGAACATGTCCAATCCATCTCCATCTTCTCCTTTTTATAATGGTGGTCATGTCCTCTTGCCTACATTTACGTAACAGATCTGCGTTGGAGATCTTGTCGGGCAACTTTTGTCTTTGCGGTGTTCAGGTCCACCATCTTCCTGCAAACAGCTTCCTTGCGGCTTTCACTGCCAGCATTCATACGAGTCCCAAGGGACTCCGAAGGTCAATCACACACAGAAATATTATGGTTTCTCTTTGTTGCTGTTTCCGTAACATATGCTTTTTACCAGTCTGGGTTGTTAGCCCTGAGTTGAACCTCCGAAACCT